CTTACTAATATATTTACTTTACCTCTTTATACTTCCCCTAGCTTTCGAGTACGAGTATAAGGTTATTTATACTAATAAGTATATCGGGATTCTCTAATCCTAATACCTTCTCCTTTAGCTCGAGTATCTATTAATATATCTACTTTACCTTATCGTACTTCCCTTAGCTTTCAAATACGAGTATAAGGTTATTTATACTAATAAGTGTATTAGGATTCTTTAATCCTAGTACCTTCTACTTTAACTCGAGTATTTATCAATTTATCTACTTTACCTTATTATACTTCCCCTAGCTTTTAAATACGACTATTAGGTTATCTATACTAATAAGTATAAAGGGATTCTCTAGTCCCAGCACCTTCTAATATAGCTCAAATATCTATCGATATATTTATTCTACTTTATCGTACTTTTCCTAGCTTCTGAGTACGAGTGCTAAGTTATTTATACTAATAAGTATATCGGAATTCTCTAATCTTAATACCTTCTCTTTTAGCTCGAGTATCTATCGATATATCTACTCTACTTCGTCATACTTCCCCTAACTTTAAAGCACTCCTATTAGGTTATTTATACTAATAAGTATCGAGGGATTCTCTAGTCCTAATACCTTTTTACAAAGCTCTAGTTCTTACTAATACATTTACTCTACCTCGTCATACTTTCCCTAGCTTTCGAGCACGACCGCTAGGTTATTTATACTAATAAGTATATCGGGATTTTCTAGTCCTAATACCTTCTCCCTCAGCTCGAGTATCTATTAATACATCTATTTTGCCTCGTCGTACTTCCCCTAGCTTTAAAGCACTCTTACTAAATTATTTATACTAATAAATATCGAAAGATTCTCTAATCCTAGCACCTTTTTCTAAAGCCCTAGTTCTTACCAATATATCTACTCTACCTCGTTATATTTCTCTTACTTTCTAAGCACGAGTACTAAGTTATTTATACTAGTAAGTATATTAGGATTCTCTAGTCCTAATACCTTCTCTCTTAGCTTAAATGTTTATTAATATATTTACTTTACTTTATCATACTTTCCTTAGCTTCTAAATACGAGTGCTAGGTTATTTATATTAATAAGTATATCGGGATTCTCTGGTCCTAGTACCTTCTCTCTTAGCTCGAATATCTATCGATATATCTACTCTACCTTATCATACTTCCCCTAGCTTTCGAGTATAACCACTAAGTTATTTATACTAATAAGTATATCGGGATTCTCTAGTCCTAATACCTTCTACTTTAGCTCGAGTATCTATCGATTTATTTACTCTACCTTATCGTACTTCCCCTAGCTTCTAAGTACTTCTACTAGGTTATTTATACTGCCAAATATAAAGGGATTCTCTAGTCCTAATACCTTCTCCTTTAGCTCTAGTATCTATCGATATATTTACTCTACCTCATTATACTTTCCCTAGCTTCCGAGCACGACTACTAGGTTATCCATACTAGTAAGTATATTAGGATTCTCTAGTCCTAGCACCTTCTCCCTCAGCTTAAGTATTTATTAATATATTTACTCTACCTCGGCGTATTTTCTAAATAGATTATTATTTTCCCCTATACTATATAATAGGTCACATAGCAACTCATTATTTATACACTAATTCTCTACTTAAAGCGCCGCTTACACATACGGCAAATAAGCCATCTAGACTTTTTTATTATCATGCTTTAGCTAAGGAAACCTCTTACAAAACTAATAAATTATTTTTATTACTTGCTCTTCTTCCTTCTCTTACTCCCTTAACTAGTTTCGCATTACTAAACGCACCAGTCGATAGATATCAAACCTATCCATAGTATTACGCTATAGAATAAAGGCGTAGGCTATTAACGTACTTATTACTTCATCAGCATTCATTTCGTCATCTATATCCGTTTCGTCGTCTGTTTCCATTCCATTATCTATCTCCCACTCGTCGTGTGTTCCCATTTCGTCGTGTGTTTTCATTTCGTCGTCTATCTTCATTTCGTTATTCTCAGAGCGTAGAAGAGCTCTTTTAAGGGGCAGAAGAGCTCGTGGGATATCTTTCTCTACAAGATAACATATAAAACTAAGGTACTTTGCCGCAAGTACATTATCTCTTAAGATTTAATTAAAGGAGATTAGCCACGTTGTGGCCACCGGGTTCCGAATATCTTCATATCGATCCTAGTCATCAAAGTCCTTGCTCAATAGCTTCACTAACTTATCGCTACTAGCCTTATAGTATCCTAGATATTTAAATATAGTTACGGTTTTATTAAAAGCCATATAAGCCGATGCCTATCGTATAGCTAGAGGCAGATAAGTAAGGCATTCGAGCAACTATATCGTACTTTAACTATCGCTAAACTAGGTCTTATCCAAGCCTTTATATAGAAGGTTAGTGGCTTTTTTAATATTTATTTTTATTAAGCATAAAAGGAGATTATTACTAAATTTTGCTACGGCCTAATAGTTTTGCGTTATTAGTAAAATAAAGCCCTTCTGACTAAAAGGAAGATAGCTCGTAAGCTTGGAGCTAGTAAATAGCAATTCTATATCGTCGGCGTTATCGATAATTAAAAGCTAGCTCTTAATTTTACTACGTTCTAATATAACCTTAACTAAGCCTTTGATATCTACTTAATTATCCTCGATATTTTGGATATTAAGCGCCCGGCCGATATCACGATATATATTTTTAAATATAACGGTATTTATAGCCGGAATTTAGAATATAGAGTAGCCTAGGTGTGTATTACGAATACAGTAGGCGACTTCGATCATAACCTATATTTTGCTAACTCCTCTAAGGCCTATAATTATAGTCCTTTAACAGGCGTCTTTATTAGTATTTAGAGGTATCCGCTTCAAGAGCCGTATTAAGATCGTATCTTTACTAATAAAGTTTTCGTTTTATCTAAATAGGATAATAAAATAGGGTTTCTAATAAACTAGCAGATTTTAGACTTTTAGTTTTTAATTTAAATACACTTTACGTACTATATTTATAATCCTCTAGCTTATCTAGGTTACTAAATATTAGCGGTAAGATAGTATTTAATAGCTCTTTAACGTATACTATAACCGTCGCTACTATATATAGTTATTACTACTTATTCTTATATACATCTATATAGTTATAAATACCACGAATAATAATATAAAAGAAGTTATTTATTAAACCGGCTACCTCTATCTTAAAACATAAGACACCTCCTAGCTCGTAACTATATCTATTATACATCTAGCTATCCTTCATTACTTAGTTCCCAGATACGATATTACTAAAAAAAAGGACCGGTTTTATAATTGCTTATATATCCCTATCCACTACGTCTACTAAATAGTATTTTATATATATAGCTATGCCGATATACAGCGATAATATATTATAAAGGGTATCTTTCTCAGAACCTAGCGACATAAACTCTAGCTAACTAGAGAGCTAAGATAAATACTTAAGAACTTATATCTTATACCAAAAGTTATTAGCATAGAGCTTAGCCAAGGCATTAAAGAGGATCGTATATAGCATATTAAGGTTACCGGTACGAGCAATATAACCGTTAGCTCTAGTTTTCTTAAAATTATATTAGATCATTCTACCGTACTGCCCTACTAGCTAGCTAATAATAATATTACTAAGCCGGATATCGATATTATCTTTAAGATTCGGGATACTACCGCCGATACCAATAAAGACGCCGAACTACAGCGACGGGAAGCTAGTTTTTATTTAGCTGGCTACCGTAACTGCTTAGTTTATACCTATTTAGCCGATAAGTAAATAAGCAGCTATAATATTATAAATACCGATTTAGCCGAAGGAATAAAGGTTAGATTTAGCCGGTTAGGACAGTAAGTCGGCAAATTCCTTATCTATTATCTTAAATACGGCTACTAGCTTAATAGGTAGAGTATAGATTTAACCGATAGTGAAGTTACGGGTAAAGACGAAATTAGCTATATTATGTTAGTTTTAATACCGGATACCAGTAAAAGAGTAGTAATGTAAAATTACGAGACAAATAGGGGTATAGTAGACAACGTGTTGTTGAATATTTTCGTTTTAAGAAACTCCTCTACCTCCGTCATGGCAGCATAGTGCGAACAGAGAGGTGTTTGTTCTTAGCCTTGCTGTGAGGGGTCAGACGTGGCGTGGTAGTGTCCTAGCCTGCAGGACCAAACGCCATCCAAGATAAGCACTAAGACTAAGTGCTGATGTTTGCGTAATTGGCTGCTGGTGTGGGTCTCCAGGGTGTCCAGGTGCATAGTAGGAAAAGGCAACCCCGTCACTAGTGCAACAGCCGCAGGACAATAAGCTCCTTGTATTGCAAGTCTCTTGACCCTCTGGGACCACTTCTGCCAATGAGATCAAAGCATTATCTACGCGTCGGAGTATGCCATGCCTCTTGGATTACCGATCTACTTTAAATTTAATAAACCACAAGGTTGGAGATGACTAAGATGCTACTACTATATACGTGGTCCTAGGTCTACGCTCCTTAATATTCTCAACGGTAGGAACGGGGCTTAAGGCTATGGCCACATGGCGGCGTGTCTCGGTTCGGCCCGCTCCATGAAGGGCCCTTATTCGTCCAAAGTCAGGATGACTTTCAGACGATCGAGCGTAGAAGACAGGGCAGGGACACATCGAGATTCCGACCATCAAGCAAACGCACGCAGCCAACTCTGTATATGCAGACAGGGGGACGTAAGCAAGTGGCATAAAATGTAGACTACACTTATCGCCGCCGTTTGTGGACGTTGAAAAATGCAACGTGGGTTTACAATAATGCACGAGCACAGTATAGAAGTAATTTCTGACTTTGGTTGGTTACAGAGGTCATACATAGCAAGGTTGCATAGGTTTATGAACGATGCGGATGGCAGGGCCTGTATGCCTACAACCAGATCAATGAGCTGGGATCTACGTTTCAGGGAAATTCAGTCGCCGAGGGTGATACGCTGGTCATCAGCATTCGTATGTGTTGTATGATGCCCTAAGCTTCACTCACTAACTTGTGGGGCAGGCCTAGCGTCGGAGCTTCTAGCACAGAAATACTCCCTGCCTCAGCCGGGCGATCGAACAAGTCCTCTGGCCATGTACGAGAGGGGAGTTTTCGATGAGATGGCAGCGAGAGCGGCCACTACGTCGAGCGGCCATAGAAGCGAAGAATTTAATGCGGCGATCCTTCCTCGCTGCCGAACCATGGTGGAAGCTATCGGACAACGCTTAGCCTACGAGGCAGCACTGCGTCCCGGCAACGTGGTTCCGGAAGTGCTCGATCTCTTCGAGAAATGTTGTGTCCAGGAAGACGCCAGTTGGCACGTCGAGCATCGCAATGACAGCCGGGCACGGATCTGGACAGCAGAGGAGAGGGCGTTTACTAATTTGA